CATACTTATACCTGCTACATCATTTGAAGATATGTTAAGTCGATTACAGAAAGTATTAGAAGTTCTACAAAATGCAAATCTAACACTCAAGATGAATAAATGTAATTTGTGATTTAAACAAGTCACCTATTTAGGGTTTATATTGTCAACAAATGGGCTAGAACCTGGAGCTCAAAAGGTGTCGGCGATACAACAAATAGAATCACCAAAAAACCGCCATGAATTACGGCGTTTCTTAGGACTGACAGGATTCTTTCGACGGTTCATACAAAAGTACGCTCAAATAGCTGCACCAATAAGCGAATTATTAAAAGGCACAGTATCGTTCAGTTGGGAATTCAAACAAGAAAAAGCCTTTCAAACATTGAAGAAGAATTTAATTGAAAATCCAATACTTCAGTTGTTTAATCCAAAAAGTGAGACTGAATTACATTGTGATGCAAGTAGTCTTGGATTAAGTGGAATGTTATTGCAACGTGGAACTGATGGACATTTTCACTTAGTTCACGCAATCTCAAAGAAGGCTACTGTGGTAGAGAAGAATTACCATTCCAGCAAAATGGAACTGATGGCAGTTGTGTGGAGTATCAACCGACTAAGACCATATCTGGCTGGTGTGAAATTTACAGTGGTGACGGACTGCCAGGCATTGGTCCATTTAAATGCCAAAAGGACTTCAAATCCACAGATAGCAAGATGAGCGACACTTCTGAGTGAGTATGATTTTGAAGTAAGACATCGTCCAGGTATGAAAATGGCCCACATAGATGCACTGAGTAGGGTACCCATTGAACAACCAACCGATACAGAAAATGAGTTAATAAGCAATAAAATGGGTGTGATGCTTACCATGACCGAAGAAAAACATGTGATAACCTTGCAAAGAAGTGATCAACAATTGAGGGAAATAATAGACACTCTCACGAAGTCAAAGGAGCCAGAAAAACAGAAGTTAAGTGATTTTGAGTTGAAAAAAGAGATACTGTATCGAATAGTTCGAGTAAAAGGAGAACTGCGTTCATTGTGGATGATTCCAAATGCAATGTGGAAGGCGATAGTCATAAAATTTTATGATCACATGGGACATTTTGCGGTTGATAGGACGGTGGAAAAGATATTGGAGCAGTACTCTTTTTCGGCAATGAGGAAGTATGTTAGATATCATGGAGACTACAACCAATAAAACCTGATTGGAGACCATTTGATGTTGTTAATATAGACCATTTAAGATCATATATTAAGAGTACATAGGGTAATGCATATATCATTTTGATAATAGACAATCTAACTAAATATGTAAAACTATACGCTGTCAAAAATACTTGTGTCAAATCCTTGCTCAAAGTCATGAAAATGTTTGTGTTAATGTTCGGTGTACCACGGAGAGTGATCACGGATCGAGGAACAGCATATACATCAAGGCAGTTTGAGATGTATTGTGCAGGACAAGGTATCAGACACTCACTGATTTCAGTAAGGCATCCTCAAACCAACGGTCAAATGGAGCGAGTTAATGGAACACTGGTACCATTACAAGTAACTGCAGAGACAGAAGTAACGTGGGACAAGAAAATAGCTGAGATGGAATGTCAACTAAACAACGCTATAAATAAGACAATTGGAGACACACCTTTTCATGTGTTATATGGCTACTATCCAAGTGTAACAGATCTTAAGTCATGCGGTAACAGAACCAAAATATGAAGATGTCTGATTACTCCAACAAGAAATCAGACAACAAATTATTGGCAGAACACAATTTGTGGACAGAAAAACACGCATCAAATCATGGAAAACTTATATAGTATGAAGTAGGAGAAGTTGTATAACCACAAGTATTGGGGACTCTACTAGGTTACAACCTAGGTATAGAGGACCACTGGTAATCACCAAAGTGCTTCCACATGATGCATATTGAGTTGTAGCCATACGGAATCAAAAAAATCGACAATATGCAACAAATTTAAAAGGATATCATTTAATTGATGAAATGGAAGACCAACAGTTCAATGAATCAGAATCGGCTGATGAGGAGACAGATCAACAATTTAGTGAACCAGGCGAAGCGAATGAGGAGGAGCCAACAAGCCGGATGAGCTAGATGAAGAAGACATAATCATTCAATCCGAAGGGAGACCTGTGAGGAACAGGAACAAGCTAGCATACTTGACTGACTATTGTAATTGATGAAACTGAATCAATTCACTACTACTTGTTATTATTATTATATATATATATATATTTTGTTTCTTATGTTATGTGCTGTATTTTATAATAAGCCCAAGTGAGGACACTTGCGTCAGGATAGTCGAGTATTAAATATTTTTTTTTTATTGTAAGAGGCAACACTGACCTAACCCGAGATACAGGTCAGTGAAGAGAGCAACTAAACAAGAGGGTTTGTTGTGTCTGTATGTAAGGTGTAAAGTGATGTTACATGTATTATTAATTGTATTAATTAATTGTATTATTATTAATAATCTTGTTATGTGTAATTTTATTGATCTGTTAAATAAAGAATACATTTTATATTAATTGATATCTTTGCTGTTTTCAATAGTTAACACAATATATTGACACTTTTTAGGTGACAGTAGTTGTTTTTTTTTACTTTTATAATTTTAATTATTTACTATTATATTATTTTTATTTATGCTTAAAATCAGTTATGTATTAAACATTTAAATAATTTTATTTATGTTATTTATTTTTAATTTATACAATAAATTTTACCTACCTATTTACATATAAATATACATATATATACAGTGGCGTATATTCAATCTTGCTCTGGAGGGAGGGTTAACAAAAATAATTGTTATTTTTTTTTTTCGTTGCACAGATAAATAACTGCTGTAAATAGATATTATTTTATACAAATTTTTTACCAATTTACAGTTTACTTTTACAGTAAATTAATAGCTGTTGGAATATAAAAACAGTATAAGTTAACAAAACTTTTCAAACACCTATCAATATAATTATTTAATTATTATAATATTTGTATAGTTGTATATTTTAAGTTCAAAGCGTAATAATGAAACTACGAATATATTTCACGTCATCAATAATAAAACAATTTTCTTTGTTTTTTGGCCCTGGAGAGGGGTTTGAACCCGGAAACCTCTCCCCCTGTATGTACGCCGCTATATATATAATTGTTTCTTAAATTATTTAACTTGAGAAAATTGTATTATTATATTCCTATACATTCGTGTTTTTAGATTATGAATATAATATGTTCGCTCCAATATGCGCGATATTATTAAAATCATTATTATTATTCTAATTAGCGTGGTGGCGACTCACTCTTCTTATCTGTTTCCCTCTTCCGGCTCCCCAACTGTATATGTGAATTTTAATTACCTGTTTATATTCTTATTATTCGTATTGCCGTATGTTAGCTTGAAAATTATTATCTGTCTTTTTCCTATTTATTTTTGTACGGCGGCCAACACCCTTTTTTTGGTCTTTTTCTTTGTCTTTTGTTGTCGTTCGTTCGTCGGTTGCGATTGTTGCACCACGATCTAACATTATTATTTTTGTCGCCGTCGTTCGTTTTTTTGGTTGTTGCTATTGAAGCACAATTTGAACATTTTGTTCTTTAAATTATTATTATTATTGTCGCCGATGTGGCGTAAAGTATACATCTAATTGTGAGTAATAATAATAGATTGTTTTTCACCAATTCATCAATAAAAAAAAGATCTCATCTTCATCTACGTCGTTGTGAATTATTATTGTCTGCGTGTCCACCCTCTACAAATGATCGTGAGTTCTATTCAATAAAATTTAGTGTAACTGCTGTGCCACTGATCACTAGACGTTCGGGTCATCATATCGTCCACCGTCAAAACGTAAGACCGCCAGCGTCCGGTGTGGTGTGTGAGAGGCCGTCCAGGTTGTCCAGTTACCAATCACCGTAAATTGTAGTTACCATCTTTATCATCGTCGACCATATATTTACATTGTGAATTGAGTGTTTAGGTTTAAGGTATTTATCCGATTTGTGTGAACTCTACTGGGTCATTGCACCAGACCGAATCGACCAGTAGAGCATCCCCCCTTATAACTAGCCTCTTATTCCTATTTCCCTTGTTTAGAATAATAACGTGATCCATTCCTTCGACGTCGTTGCCACAGTCGTTGTAGAAACACAGCCGCCCGCCATAACCGCGGAGTCCATTAAGCTGTCTATTAAGTTGCCTACACACGACGCCGCAAAAATAATCAATAGATTAGATTCTTGATTTAATTTAAATGTATACAATTACGTAACATAATGAAAAAGCTTATCTTTTCAAATTATGTATTTTTCTTTTCCTGGAATCACTACTAGTTACAAATAACCTATTTTATTTATCATTCAACAATTCTATGTTAATCATCAATATATTTTAAAATTAATAAATAAATATACGTAATTATTATTGTACACAGAAAATAAATAATAGGTAGTATATTACAGGCTAACTATAGATACATTCAGATTTCTGCTCTTAATAATGATTTTATACTAAACAAATTAATTAAAATTAGATTTGTTTAAATCATTGTTTCTCAACCTTTTTAGTGTCGCGACCCCCAAAATAGGTATAAAATATGGTCAATCACTTCATGACCCCCTACCCGCCATCTATATAAGGTAAAAATTTAATTTGAATTTGTATTTTGTAAATCAGCGTTTTATAATTTTTGACCTACGCGACCCCCTTAGGGGTCGCGACCTCCTGATTGAGAAACGCTGGTTTAAACAATTAAAGAAAAACATTGACTACTACTGACATTTTTCCGGAAATATTTTGAATTTAAAAGACAGTTACATTTTTATTACATAATATGAAATTGTATTTTAATAAAATATAAATATTTTATTTTTAAAATATTTAATATGTTTTTTGGCTACTAAAAAAGTATTATAAAAAACAATAAAAACGATTAGAATTTTTTTATTAAAACCTAAATGATGTTTTTATAACATAATTTACAATTTTATGTTAAAACATTATAATGAATAATTAGTCTGTTTCTCATAGACATAATAATAGATGATATTTATTATGTCTATAGACATATATGCTGTTTTCGAACAAATTAATATTGTTACGATATTTAAACTTGGGTTAAATGATAACAATGAAAAAGGAGTCTATTTGCACTTCAATTTTAGTTTTGAATGCCGCTTCTATATTAATCTATGGCATCATTAAATAAGTGATAAATGTTATTATATAATAAGTGATGTAACAAATAAAATAAAAGATCCAATGATATTTCTCCTCACGAAAACCTTTTGAAAAGAAAGTAAAGTGACATGGCACGAATCCTTCTTTTTCGACAACAAAGTTTTTTGCTACTGTTAGAGATAACCTCAATATTGGTGATTTTGACTTTGAATTCAGATTGTTGATTATAACCCTTTCGGTTATGTTATTAATCGTTAGTTCAAGTATCGTCTCATCCTGATAAATATCCGAGGCTACGTTCAATGATCCGTATTCTTCTTTCATTTTTTCGTCGAGTTTTTTATTTATACTACTGTCTACTAAGCATTTATTTTCTAAAACAAAATATCATCAATAAATTTAGAATAAAAATAAATTGAATTGGTGTGCGGTAATGGACATGATATGCGCAGGTAATTTTAATTTTTTAAATATTGTTTTATTGTCACCGTCGGTAATTGGTTCTGAAAGAAACTTTATTTAATACATCTAATAGTATTTAAATAATCTGATCATATTGTATTATACAGCGTACTCAAACTGTGCTCCACGGAGCCCTTGGGACTCAATTAATTTTATCATAGAAAATGTAAAAATGTAACTATTATTGACCGTTATTTAAAACAATTAGCATATATATTTTTACAAGATTTCGTCACTCAAATATAATTCACCAGTACATATACAAACAGTAAGTCCCCATAGGAAAATATAATTTTTAAATATTAGATAATATGGATTTCCATTCAGTGGCGTAGATACAATTATTTCTAGGGGGGTGTTTAAGAGTCAATTCATAATATTTTTAGTATATCTAAATACGAGGTCCTGTATAATAATATTACATTTAAAAATGTGTTATTATTATGTCCCGTATTTAATGAAAATAATTAACTAAATAAATTATTTAATACATATCTAATCATAGTAAAATTAAAATATAATTTTACTATAATATGTAAATATTAATAAATAATAATTAAATATCATTAAAAAAAATCTGGGGGGAAATCCCTTACCATCCTCCCGTAACTACGCATTCTCATTCCAGTTATTTCCAGGCCAGATATATTGCATATAAATATAATATTAAATATAAACTATCTCGTTAAGAGTTTCCTTCTATATAAATACATATCATATGTAATATCATTAATTATAAATACTATTTATAATCTCTTATCTTAAACCTCCACTCGTCTCGATTTTCTGCATCCTCTACGCATACATCAACAGCCTTCATATTTCTTTTAATCTTATCCAACCATCTCTTTAGTCTTTCTCTTCCTCTTTTCTTTCCAACGTTAATTTTCATAACTACTCTTACTGCTTTTGTTTCCTCTCGCCTCATCATTTGCCCAAACCATCTCAGTTTATCTTTTAGTTTAATTGAATGGCTAAAAATGAAACTATAATTTTTTTTCAATTTTTCCGGGCAGGGGGGTGGTATAGGTGCAACTAGGGGGACTAAGATTTAGCCCCCTTCCCATAAATATTCCATGTCATACATGGTATACTGCATACATCATACTTAAATTACAATAGTCTCACATACAAAAAAAAGACACACTACAGTAAGTCCAATTTGGTTCAGAATCTAAAATATATTAACATAATATATAAAAGTAGGAGTAATCTACAGGTTATTTTAAGTTTTTAAGCCCCCTATATATTTTAGTTGCGACCGTAGGGATGTGAGATTTTTGAAAATCTAAAAAGGGCGTTGAGTAAAAAATGGTTGGGTATCACTGACAACTAAATATTCCTTGTGATTTTTCTTCTCTATATTGCGTTTTCACATTTTTATTGAACCATAATTTCTTTGTTTGAAATTCTCTACCTATCATCTTTTCGACCGCTTCTTGAATCACGTTCTTCAAGTTGCTTCATCTTTTTTCTATACACTTATTTATTTCCCTAAGTGTAGTGATTTTATCTTTTTATCTATGCATGCTGCACATTTTTTACAAAACCCATGATATACAAGTTTTTGCACATCGTACCGCCCTTTATTATTCATTATTGTTGTCTCACGTGTCTTTTTAAGGGTAGCTTTGACCTTAATTATCACTAATATGTGGTCTGTGCCGCAATCTGCTCCTCGCACAATTCTGACGTCTAGTACTGTGTTTGCTAACTTTTTTTTTTAAACTTTTTTTGTGTTTGTTAAACTAACGTATTCATCAATACGTGGTAAATTCGATTAAAATATTATCCATCAGGGGATCTCCAAGTACCTTTATGAATATCTCTTTGTGAGAACATGGTTCTTTTTATTCTTAAGTCCTTTTCCATTGCCAATGTTACAAGTCTATTATTCCATTGTCATTCGATACTTGGTTCAGACTATGAGTGCCTATGATAGGTTAATAATTAGTAATTATTAATTACGTATTAAATTATCGGCTTGTTCTTTCCTTGTCCGCGGCCGGCCGGTTAAAATTCACCCGCAGGCCGTCATTTGGTGACCCCTGATATAGATGGTTGATACTACATAACACACATTACTGAACCACAGCAATAAAATTCTAGATACGCCACTGGTTCGAACAGTATAATATTACTTGTTAGATCGATATTATAAATCATATTTAATTAAAAGTTATTCTTTAGGTAACGAAGACCGCATTTTTATTTCGTTAGAATAGGTTCCTGAAAATGAGTTTGAGTTCTTTGTTTCGTCCAGAAATTAAAAAATATTAAATTATTGGTTTGTGCTGAAAGTCACTTGACTGAGCAAAATAATAGTGTATTATAATTATAAATCAATAGTAATATTTACGTTTTAATATTCGTGAAACTAATTTTTCCGAATCAGGATTTCCGTAACAGAATCCTAACTGCAATTTATTATTTGTAATACATTTCTTAGTGCAACAATCATCATTTGTATAACATTTATTGAAATCTTCTTTGCATATTTTTTCGGTACAGTATGTTTCTAAATTAAAAATAAAAAAACACATTACATATATTTAATATACATACAGTATTTAACATTCAATAAAAGGTAGTATAATCAATATTAACTGTAATTGTAATTTTTTAATTACATAATGGATATATTAATATAATAGACTAGAATATTATGTGTTGAGGCACGCATAGCCTATGATTATCGATCATGGGTGTATCGTTGTATATATTGATAAACAATTTAATTGGAATATTACGAAAATATTTTGTAAACAAAGAATATCTTATAGCATTCAAAATTGATATTTCCTTTTCAATTAAAAACAAAACTTATACTTTAGGATAAACGTCATAATATTCTGAGTTTTATGTGATAAAAACAGATTTTTATTGGAAAGTAATAAAAAAGATCGGTTGTAATCTCGGCCCGATAATATTTACAGGTGAAATAAAATGGCGATGTATAAACCACAAATGTGTAGCTTTTTTAAAAACGTTTGGAATAAATAATGACATTACGGAGAAAAATGATGATCATCTGCATGAACCTATCAGGGACCAAGTACTACAACGACAGTGTGTTACCACCGTGGCCAAACACAAAGGAACTGAGGATATCTGCAGTAGGCCAAACAATATTTTTTGTAGTGCAGTAAACAATGTACCTGACGCGCAAGATCTACAAGTAAGTGATATTCAGGGTATTGGGACAAAATATCCTATAATAAAATATTCAAGTCAAAATATCCAAATAAAAAAAAATTATAAAAATCTGTATTATTAATACCTGTATAATTTTTTTTTTTTTTATTTGAATACATTATTGTTCATTTTTAGATTACATTTTAATAACATTTAACATTAATAATACTTTATAATACAGTTATAAAATAATAATAAAAATAATATGTTGTGTTATATAATAATTACATCTTTAATTTTATGTAGTGCGTTACAACGTAACATAGTTATATTTATACTAATATTATTTTATGACTATACTATAAAATATTAAATAATGTTAATTTTGATTTAAAATTGAACGATGTAACTAAATAAAAAATAAATAAAAAAATAAAAAAATTATGTACAGATATACCTACAGATTTTTATTATTTTTTTATTTGGATATTTTGTCCTATACATTGGTTATTTTATCCCTGGATATTTTATCCATTGGATATTTTAACCTTGGATATTTTGACTTGAATATTTTAATGCAGGATATTTTGTCCTAGATTCGATATTCAGTATGTTAAAAGAAATATATACAACGCCTCCTCGTTGTGTCCTCTGGGTAATGCTAAATGGTTCTCAAAAATATCATAAGAAAATTATACCAATGTACATTTTTATCCGGGCTGAGTTTACACCTAAATTATTTCTACCTGCAAAAACCCCGGGCCGAATTTACACTTAAATTATTTTTACCTGAAAAAAACATGGGCCGAGTTTACAATCGATCATTTTTACTATACAATTTATAAAATCAGCGACAACACAAGCTTAAAATGTTAAAGAAATCGATTTAAATTCGTCAGTTTAAAATGTGGCAGTATATTTAATAACGATTTTAAAAAACAACACGAAGATAAAGTACACAGTGAAAGTCAGTTAATATTAAATTTGTTGGTGCTCCCGATAACCCTTTTCAAAGTGCAGCTAAGACTTAAAAAATCGTAGAAAAACGAAATTTGGTAAGTACCTATTATAAATTATAATTATTATTAAGTTCAACAATAATTGTAGATGTTATTAAAATATGATTAAATGTTATACCTACTATTATATTACAATGTCAGTAAATTTTAATTATGTTATTATGTTACTATTTGTTTATTAAATAAACATTATTTCTATAAAGGACAAAAAAAATAATTTTTGCTTTAATGTAAAAAATTAAAATAAATTTATTAGTAGTTGTTTATTATGTTATACACTTTTACACAACAGTTTTAGTAATATAATTCAGTTCGTTATCGGCAGCCGGCGCGGCAGGTTCGATAAAGTTTCCGTTCCGTAAATAACGTTAAGTGCAAATCGCATTCGTATAAAGTGTTTCAAATGCCTTCTGGACAAGGAGGGGCCGAAAAGATGGCCGCAGAAGCCTCGCGAAAGAGGAAAATGAAAGAAAATCTCTCCCCAAAGTCTCCAACAAGTCCTCAAATAAAAATAAAAAACCGATACACACCGCTATCTAATCTTAATGACAACGTAGAAATAAATGATAACTCACTGGCTGTCACCGATAATACACATTCCGAGGTAAGGAAAATTCCACCCATATTCGTCCACAATATTACAAATTACTAACAGTTTCACTTATCCTTAGCATCTGTAGTTAACGATGATTAGGCGGTTGTGGCAACAATACAGACGACCGGAAGATCGTCGTTTACTTAACGCGTTAACAAAATAAGTACGTGATACCCTGGACAGTTATAGAATCAATTCATTCAAAAAATACTTATCTGAAATCCACCCAGCTGATCCAAATCTTTGGAGATGCACAAAAAGACTAATAAATAAGGATCAAAATAATATTCCTCCTCTTCATACCTCAACACAATTCAAAGCTATAACTGATGAAGAAAAATGTGAGCTATTTCCGTCTACTTTAGCAAGCACATTTAAACCTAACGACATATTTCATCAGTAAACCTGCGACTTAGTAAAAAACAGCGCATTAATGGAAGATTTCGCAATCAAAAATATGCTTGCATTTATTAACCCTACGGAAATTAAAAATAACATAAAATTACTGCCGCATAAGAAGTCACCTGGCGCGGACCTAATAACCAATCAAATGCTCATAAAACTTCCCAATAAAGCAATAATCTTTCTAACGAATCTGTTCAATGGCCTACTCACTATTGGTTACTTTCCACTTAGCTGGAAAAAGGCAATAATAATTTTGTTAAATAAACCGGGTAAAGACAAGTCAAACCCAGAAAATTATAGACCGATAAGCTTATTGTCGGCATTCTCCAAACTTTTCGAAAAATCTATACAAAGTCATCTTTTAGAATATCTTAACTCAATCGAAGCGATACCAAAGTTCCAATTTGGGTTTAAATCACACCATTCTACTTCACAGCAACTACTCCGTCTCACTGAAACAATTAATAACAGTTTTGAAAATAAAAATCACACAGGTGCAGTTTTTTTGGACATCGTAAAAGCGTTCGATCGTTTTTGGCACGATGGTCTTTTCTATAAATTAAAATGCGTAATCATACCAAAATATATTCTGCACATTTTAAAATCCTTTCTCGACGATAGATGTTTTGTTGTCAGAATAAACGATACGCAATCATCTTGCAGACCTATTCAAGCTGGAGTTCCTTAGGGATCCAAACTAGGACCAATTCTGTTTAATTTTTACATCTCAGATATTCCACAAACTACGGACACAAACATCGCCCTATTTGCTGATGATACCACCATCTACTGCAATTCTTCGGATACTCAAATAATTACCACCGCACTCCAAAATCATCTCAATAAAATTTCACTATGGTGCCTAAAATGGAAAATTATCATAAACCCTTCAAAAAGCCAAGCGGTATTATTTTCCCTACGCAGAACTCAAACACTTCAACTAGTTACGTTCGACAACGCGCCAATAGGTTGGAAATCGTCGGTAAAATACTTAGGCGTTATCCTCGATAAGAAACTAAGCTGGTGGCCTCATATATCGACTAAACTCCAGCAAGCATACCAACGATTAGGGGTTCTCTTTCCAATATTAAATAGAAAATCGACTATTAGTAAAAAATGCTCACTTATTATACATAAACAAGTACTGAGACCTTTAATATTATACGTAAGTCCTATATGGGGCAGTTGTGCCAATAGTCACTTAAATAAAATTCAAATTTATCAAAACAAAATACTCCGCATAATAACTGATGCTCCCTGGTTCGTTCGCAACAAAGCCCTGCATAATGACCTGAAAATTCCTACTACTAACGTGTACATAAATCATATAGCAAACAGATTCTTTCACTCTCTTAAGAACTCGAATGGCGCCGTCCACTACAACTTAACCGAAAGTCCACCAAAAATTCGCCGTCTCAAGAGAGACCCCACGACCGAATTAAATTACCTACCACCAATCACTGCCACATCGAATACATCAAGCCAGAAAAATTATATTTTTAACCTATATTTAACAATATTTTATTAACATAATACTTAATATTTTATTTTATATTTAATATCTCGCTAATCATATTTTAATTAACATTTTATATTACATTATTATATCGCATTTATGTAAGTAAGAAAATTGCATGTATATATTATCAATAGGCTTAGATAATAAAAAAAAAAAAAAAAAAAAGTAATATAATTATTAATTATACATTTTTATTATGGAAAAATAATACTTCAAATTCAATAGTAAATAACGATATAAATAATATTGTTTCTGAAAAACTATTCGAAGATGAATTTGTTCAAAACGATCAAAATATTCATGTTGCTCATATTTCTGAGGTATCGTTGTGTATAATTTTCTTTATAAAATATTTTAGTTTTAGACAACTAATTTGCTATAATATGATTTTATTAGATCCATGTAACTTTTTTATCTCAATCAGTTCCAGTGGAAACCGATGATTTTAAAAAGGATGAAGTTAATTGATTATCGTGTGCTGATAAATTAGAAAATATTGTTGCAAACTTAAGTGAGTTTTAAGTACCATATTACCTAAATTAAAATCAGAATCATTACCAAATCCAGTAATATTCCTATTGGAAAGCATTCAAATTATCAGTAGAATAAAATCAAATTCTAAAGAATTTTTAAAAAATGCTAATATTTTGTCTGAACAATTCTCAAAAGCATCTGAAAGTTCAAATCAAGTTAATAATATTTTTGATAATATTATAAATTATGATCCAGGTAGTCGTGGTTCTGTTGCTTCGAAATCTCAACGTCAATACCTTATTGCTTTAGGATCTCATCAGCCAAAATTAACCAAGTACCCAATTAATACTGCAATAAACAACATTAAATAACATAGTTTTAATCCTAAGTGGTATAATGAATACAGTATTGTGACTGATTCTGTATATTGTTTTGTATGCTCTTTGTTTTCTATTGGTCCAGGAAGAACTTTTGAAGATTCAGCATGAATGAAACAAGATGAAAAGCTATGGGATTAAAAAGCTGGGTAAACTTCAACAAAATTTTAATTGTATTTCTCATAAAACAGCATTAGATGATTATTATAAATTTATGACTACTGAAAATTGGATTGATATAATTTTAAACAAATCAAGTAGAAAAGAAGCAATTAAGTTGGAACAAGAAAAAGATTTTAACAAACAAATTATAATTATTTTATTTAATATAGCTCGAACATTATCACGACAAGGATTTCGAGGTGATGGTAACGAAAGTGGAGTAAATTTTATGCAATTGGTTAAACTTCTGTCTAGGCATAATCAATTAATCAAACGCTGGATTGAGGAGTTTTCATTGCGGTCATATAAAGTTACTTATTTAGGTCCAACATCTCAAATGAATTTATTGAATTACTAGCTAAAGAAACACGTAACATAATTGCAAAAGAGATAAAAGAAGCAAATATTTATTCAGTGTCTGCTGATACAACACCTGATTTATCACATCAAGACCGTTTAGCAGTAAGTGTACATTATGTAAATAGTCAAGGTAAAGCTGTTGAGCGACTTTTGGAGATGGAAAAAAAGAACAGATAAAACTGGTTTGGGTACAGCATCACAAATAATTAACATTTTAAAAAGTAACTTATTAAATCCTGGATTAATATTCTTTTAATCCTACGATTTTGCAAGTAATATGTCTGGAAAATACAACGGAGCCCATGTTAAACTTTCGGAACTAGTTGGTCACAAAATTACATTTATAACGTGCCAAGCTCATAGGCTGAACATGTTTTTATAACATAGTTGTGATGCTAGTAGTATAATTGGAAATACTATTAATACTTTGGACTGTCTTTATGCCTTTTTTTATTCAAGTTATAAAATATATGGCTTAATGAGCCATAAAATATATGGCTTATATACTTCATGAGAAAATTTCTAAAATTGAAAATGCATTACAATTAAGAAACTTGTCAAAAACTCGGTGGACTGATCGAGCTGAAAGCGTTCGGGCTGTATGAAATTATTTAGAACCTGTGATTGAAAGCCTTGATGAAATTCATTCATTAAACAAATTTTTTGATAAAGCAACAAGATCTAAAGTACTTGGTATTCGAAAACAAATACCTTATTTTGATTTTTTTGTTTCTTTATCATTTATGAAAAATATTATACACAAATTGAAGTTTCTCACCGAAACTCTCGAAGCAAAAAATTTATATATATTTGATGCAATAACTGTGATTGATAGCACAATGGAAATTTGACATAAATCAACTCTGATGATCACACAATGAACAATTTCATTGATAGCGCTAAGGAGTTTGCCAACTTACTTGGAAGAGTCCGAGAAGCTGATTTTAAAAACCATCATCGTAAAAGATTAGTTGTTAAACAATATGATTCTAATGCCACAACTCAAGCAGAATTCACAATGCATTAATTTTAAAGAAAAGAATTTAAAATGCTTCGATATTCTGTTGTAACTAACAAATGACAATATAAAATCATGTATTTCTTCTATTCAACCATTATTTACTTTATTTTCTCAACCATTTAATAAAAATAATGTTTCCTTAGATAATGTAAAAAAATCTATTTCTTTATTCTCATCAAACAGCGTAGATGCAAGTCTTCTAGATTAGGATTTAGTACAAACAGAACTAGAAATAATATTTAGTATGTTACGAGATGATAAAACATCATTTAATTCTTTAATGGAAAAAGCAAAAGAAGTGAAGCATATTTTACCATGTTCTTATTGTTCTTGGTATTGACTTCTCCTGTAACAGTCGCATCAAACGAAAGATCTTTTAGTAAACTAAAATTGATTAAAACGCATCTTAGATCAACAATTACTGATGAGAGATTAAATTCTTTGGTTTTATTAGGAGTAGAAAAATATATGGTTGACCAATTAGATATGAATAAATTAGCTCATCAATGGTCAATTTTAAAAAACCGACGTATATAAATTTAGTGCTTATTATAAATATAATATGTATTATAATTTTTTTTTTTGTATAAAAATATTATTTGAAGATTATATTATGTTACCAAATGATAATAGTTTTGTAAATATACAACACTGTTATACGTTATGTTATTGAATATATTTTATTGTAGTATACTTGTGAAGATATAATCCAAAAATATATAATATTTAACTATAAGAGATAGTAAAATAGAGAATATAATAAAATATTTAAGATTTTGTAATATTGTGTATAATATATTTACTGACTAGTATGCATGTAACCTGTAGGTAGTAGACAATTGTCGAGCGAAGCGAGAACATTTTTTTTGAGTTTGCACATTAATGCATCTCATCCCCCCCCCCTTATTATTTTGTTCGGGACGGCCCTGGTTAAATAAAATTATATATTTTACCTGTTATTTTTGCGGTTACAAAAACTAGTGCAATTAAAACTGAGGTAGATTTCTTCATTTTTATTTATTTTGTATGTGAAAACTTTAACACAATATTTATAATTTGATTTTCAATGGAAATACAATTGTAATGGTTGACAAAAAAGAAATAATAATATTTAAAAGTGACACGGTACTGATTTAGTTTTACGTATATTCTTTCTGCTATCACGTTTTAAATGAGATAAATTTAATACTAAGTATTTAAGTACACATTTTAATTAAGTTCAATCGATTTGTCGAGTTCAATGATAAATATGACAGAGATAATTGTGTTTATTTACTATACATTGTTATGCATTATTAAGGATACGTTTATAACTATAATTATAATTTATTAAATAAATATATATTGGATGGTTTCAATTTAATAATCTAATTTTCAAACTTCAAGTCATATAAAAACTTAACGTAAAATAATTGCTGTAAAGACTTACAATTTTTACATTATATTTATGCTTCTGTTTGATAAAAATGATAGTTTTGAAAAGATTTAGTTATTTTTGTACAATTTATTGATACTTCAAAATGTCATATTTTCATAGCTTTTTTTTTTTTGTAAAATGTTGATAAAATTATTTTAGCTGAACAAAAAGTCTTGTAATTTAATACATATATTTTATTAGTTATAGCGTTTGAATACAAAATTTTGGCAAAATGACAAAACTTACAAAAATTTGATACATTTCTTAAATATTTTCGAATCGAAAATTCTTAAAACTTTAAATTTTACGCCTAAGGCTTGAAAATTAGGTATAAGATTTTTCATAAGATTCATAATACTATGCAGTCATAAAAAAATAAAAAAATTAAAATGTTGCTCCTATCTTTCGGTGCTAGAAACGACATCACATTAGTCTCTTACGGGTTCCAGTTATGTTTCCTTTAAAAAGAGAACAAAAGACCTCAATAACTTGAGTCTCCTATAAACGGGGGTTGATAAAGGGCTTACAATCAAACTCATAAAAAAATTGGTTATTGAAACATAACATATATAAAAAAATTTTCATTGGATGGTTACAAAAAAGATATATGTGTTAGAAAATTATATTTTGACGAAATTTAGTATTTCAACCACTAGCGATTGATTTAAATATAGGAGGGATGTAGTTCGTTTTTTAACATGCATTTCAATCATTAAAATTATAATTTATGGTCATAGAATAAAAAATAATTGTACTAATTTTAAAACTAACCTTAAATCACTAATTCTATTTTTTATTTTGTTTATTTGCCACTTTGTCCAGCAATTAATTCACAGTTTTGTATATGATCTCGTAATGAACAGCCATAATAAGACTAAAACATTATAGCTTAAAGCAGCGGTTCCCAACCTGGGGTACGCGGAAAAAAAAATTGGGTAATAGCGAAAGATATTGAATTTGTTTTATATAAAACTTATGTTATTAACAATATAGGTTTGATACATGGGATTTTCTTAGTGAATCAGAGAAAGTCTGATGTGTGTTTGTAATTATAGGCACGATGTACCATCATTTTAATTTATCAAACCACTCAAAGACATGCCGAATTGCGGCATGAACACATATTTACACAATAACAAACTATAAAAAAATCAACCTTTCTTTTAATAACACTTTCATAAACCGTTAGGTATCCTCATAATGTAATAACACTTCATTCACCAATAACTTGTACACCAAATATCTGTAAAAGTATTGCCATATGTTACTTATATCATATTGATATTTATAATAATTTTCATTTATATAAATTATCAAAGGACTAAGACATACCGACTTGCGGTATGGACACGTAGTGACATTCAACACCCTTATAACAATATTTCCATATGTTCATATCATATCTATATTAATAATAATACTCACTCATGTAATTCTTCGCAAGACATGCCGACTTATGGTATGGATTTGTAAACATGTAATAAGCAACCAATAAATAATAAAATATACAGTTAACAGTTAGGAAAATCACACGAATCGATAATAATAAACAAAAATAAACGATAATGAACCAAATGGTACAAGTCATGCACAACCCTTCGGCACTTAGAGATCTAATAGATCAGCTAATAAGTCCAAAGACGTGGAAGTAGCCAACTTCGGTTTCACTAACCCACTGTTCAAATAATTCGACATGTTTATCGTTTATTTATTTTTATTGATATTTCATTAACGGTCAAATCGCCTTTTATAATACTCAATAATCAAGTAATAATCAAGTGCGCATGTTCGTTAAATCTACAACACATTTTATCGTTCATAATACACAATTAGTGTCCTACTGCACCTTATAATAAAGCATGAAGGATGGCATAAGACAGATATAGTTGGCTACAATAACAAGACATGCCTTTAGAAGCAGATGATGGTGATGTTGTCTGACTTGAAAAAATTCAAAGTTTTTATATAACAATAACCTATAGTCTATAGCTCAATTTGAGTACAATTTATTAATATAAGTACCATCTAATATTTTTAATACAAATCCTATTTAGACAAGGCTCACGTTAAGTTAAAACTTAAAATAAAGAACAACTCATTAAGGAAGTTCAACATTTATTATTTACTACAATTTTGTTGAATAGTTGCATCGTATATTATTTATATTTTATATATTTAAATGTATTTTGTATTTTATCAATTTGTACGGAAGATTTCTCTCAGTGAGATGAACCCAGATTAATAAAAGTATTTGATTCATCGATAGGAAATGTTCTTCAATTGACAAAAATTCGAAGAGTTTTATTAATAAATTAAAAATACTGCAATATATTTAAGTGTATTCTATGTTTACCTAATTGTTTGTTTTTACATCAATCTTAAAACTCATTTTATTGTTTAGAAACAAATTGCGTTATGTTACCTAATATTAATGTTCTGATAACCTGATGTTTACAACTTAATTATTATGCATGTAAATATTCTATTAAATATATTACAATTTAAACATGTTTTAAATTTATGCTTGAATTAGTATTGATAATCTGTAATTGTAATTGATAAGTGAGGTTGAAATATAGTGTTAAATTTAACATAGTTAAAAGTGGAGTATAGTCAATAATCTGTTATAAACTCGGAGAAGTAGGACTAGAAGTCGTATTATTCGACGTATATAACTTAAGTGTATTTTTTTTTTTTTGCTGGTAACCCCCTCAAAATCAAAATCTACACTACGGTGAGAGTTTAAATGAGATTTAATTTTGGGAGGAGTAGATGATTTACCTGCTCGCAAGTCGTTGCCCGAAAAAATATGTAATTAACGCGGCAATATAAACAATAGTTTCAAAGTACTCAGCGATAACCAAAAGAATCGCGACTGAACTCACTCCGATCAAAAAAATATTTTCAATGAGCGATTTTTTGTGAACAGGCGTCCGATTTTATCAATATTTTATTTTTTATATTTTGGTGTATTCGAAAATATTCATAACATTTTTGTTCATTTGAGTCCACTGTATACATTTATAAACTCTCCTTATTGTACTCTTTTTTCCAAAGATCATGTATCTATAAAGTACGCTTAGTTTCCTTTTTTTCAAGTTTTTTCTTCCTCTTCATCAAGAACCAGGGCCATCATAATTAATTCGTTTTCATTGAATTCACTAAATTTAATAAAATGTGTATTCAAAAACTTGAAATTTTAAAACTTAAACTGATACAACCGTTCCCTACGATATATTTCCCTACGTACTGAATGCTTATAATCAACAATTATCAGAACATTAAAAATCGAAACGGACCCGGATCGGATGTGTGTGTGAAAGGATTCTTATACTGTTATTATACTTGGGAGTACATATATACTTATATTTATCTTAAGCAATAGTTTTTTGTGTCGGTTTTTTGTTATATTTGTGTACACTCACGTATTTATTATTTTCATTTCTCTGTGTAAATAGTGAATAGAAAATTTGAAAAACTTTATTTTGTATTCACATTTTGTATTATTATAATAAGCAATGGCGTAGTTACGGGGAGGGTGTAAGGGGTTTCCACCCCCCACAGATTTTTTTTTAATATTTGATTATTATTTATTAATATTTACATATTATAGTAAAATATTTTGATTTTACTATGATTAGATATATATTAAAAATTGAGTAACAAAATAATTTTCATTAAATACGGGATATAATAATAACACCATTTTAAATGTAATATTATTACTAGGCTTAGGGACTTCTAGCATTTACATACTTATTTTAATTATTGTTAAATATAGCAGAGTGCGAAATAAATTTGTTTCTCAGTGTCATGATATCAGATCTAAAATTTGAATGTGCATATTTTTGCATATTTGATAGATTTTGCAGGAGAATGCATATTTTAAAAATTTTATGCTTATTTTACATATTTTGGCAAATTTTTCAAATTTAAAACTTAAAACTATAAATACAGTGGAACTTCGATAAGTCGAAAACCTTGATAAGTCGAAAAAAATTCCGTCCCCTTACGAAAACCTCGATCACTCGAAAAAAAAACTATAGATAACTCGAACATTCTGTGCTCCGGATATGACGGATAATGACAGATAATTTTATAAACATTTGTCTAATCGGCAAACGTTTGACGATTTTGTTAAAATCGACCATGACGTTGTCGTTTCTGGTATTCTGGCAGACGACGATATAACTGACTCCGTCCGTGGCACTGAAGATGTTGATGACATCGAAGAAGCATCATCTGAGCCTGTGCATCGTGTTTCAATGAAGCAAGCAACAGCAGCCCTCATATTGCTAAGGACATTCACCGAACAATTGAGTAATGTGGACGATAAAGTGTACTCTGCTTTAAATGTAAAAGAAAATACAATTGATAATAGTAAATCTCAAAATTTAAGTCAAAGTAAAATAATAAATTATCTTTTATAAAGTTGCAACACATGTTTTATTATATTTTTTTGTAATAATTTTTTTATTTAAATAATCTTTATAATCACATTTTTTTACATTGTATATACATATATACTAAGTACATAATAATTAAAAACTTTAATACATACATACATTTTTAAAACTCTTTAAGTCGAATTTTTTTTCTAAAACCTTGATAACTCGAAAACCTTAGTAAGTCGAAAAAATTGCATTTCCCTTAAATTTCGACTTATCGAGGTTCCACTGTACATATAACTATATATATACATATTTCAACCGATCGAAAAAATAAATGTACTAAGAGGACTTAATACTTCCAGTAATATGCTAAATGCAAGCTACCTCTCATATCTCGTTATAATTTTGTGTAAGTATAAATAATACTATAAACCCGTATCGACCGTTCTAATCTACTCGTATCTAATCTATCGATTTTACTCACTGGATATCGACCGGATGTCGATACAGAATAATAGATTATTTGTTTAGTATTCAGTTCAGTTGATTATTATCTGTCATTGTTTTTGCGTCTCGCAACCACGCAACGTCGAATCATATATAAAACGTCGTACAAATATATTTTGTAACATTATGTAATGCCGAAAGTATAACTGTCTATGAGTAGCCGACTATAAAGTTTTGTTTCGGAGTTTAAAGATACATTTACATCCGGTGGACCAGGGGCGTATTTAGACTTCTAGGGGGGGGGGGGGGGGGGCCACATTTTTTTTTTTTAATTCAGGCTCAAATGTACAAGTAAAATGTTTGGTAATATTTAAATCAGGTGTATCCTTAATATTTGTAGTTTTTTTTTTTTTTTAATCTAATGCCGGATCCACTTAGAATCGACTTTTATATAGTTATTTTTTAACACCTGTCTGTGTTTTAAAAGTTACGCTTGTGTTTTATTTGATTTTTCACCAAGTATGGACCCGACAAGAAGCCCGATTCAATATTCACAGCTACGTGTAATTTGATTTCATAGTAAAATGATCCACATTAAAAAAATTTGAAATGTATATCTCACATATAATTGATTCATTAAATATGAATTCAAGGGGGAGGGCAATCGTTCCTTCCCCCTTAAAATACGCCTCTGCGATGGACTCATTTTACTTTGTGTACTATATGGTCATTTTTTTTTTTAATGTATATAAATGCATATTATTATGCATATTTTAATGATTTTAGAAGCATATTTGCATGCATATTTATGTATTTTATAGAGCTATAAGTCCCTAAGCCTAATTATTACATATGACCTCATTTTAAGATATACTAAAAACACTTAAAAACTTACTCTTAAACACCCCCCCCCCCCCAGAAAAAAATTGTATATACGCCACTGATAATAAGTAATGCAATATTATTTATACAACGAACAATAACGATTGATTAAATAAATTATATACGCTGACTTTGTAGTGGTATAACTGATATTAAGTATACGTAGTAATGTTTTTTTTAATGAACATTTATACATCACATAATGAATATATTTGAATCCATTTTACAAATTAAAATACAAATCATCCATTGATGAAATATGTGTTTTAATTAATACGTGGCTGTAGAATGGGACCGATTATCCATATAATATTAAATTACCTTATACACAATTTAATTAAACGATAACTATCGTTTATTTTTGTAAATTTACTCCTAATTGAAAAAATTATGTTATAAATAATTAACATATACATTTACAATTTTTCATATTTAAGATTTGTGTATACCATAGATAGTTATATAATTTAATTTTACTTCTTAGTTTTTGTAAATCTAAACTCAATAGTTCTTTGAATAGAATCAGTGCAATGTATTTTAATCGAGAAATAAACTACATATAAATTAGGTGACTATTGAAATCCAGTGAAAATATGAAGTCATTATATTGGAAATAATATATTTTTCAATAATAGTGTAATATACATTATTTGGAGTCGACCTTCTAAGAAGATCCACTTAATCCACTTGCTAAAGCAAATAGTGATATAGCTATAGCTACTACGCGTACAATGAACAGAAAATCCATTCTTTCGATTTCAGGTCCTAATGATATAATACAAGGTACAACTCCTGTAATGTTTAGGGCCTTGGCTGCTTCTTTCGATAATTCCAATGTTGAATTTCCGGCTGGAGTTAAATTATTTATTTGAACGGTTATCGTAGTCCCGTTGTAGGTTACATTGTAATTATAACCCTCGGGCAAAATAGAATGTGCTGCATTCACTCCGTATACAACAAACGCTGTTTCACTCGCATTTTTATCTTCCGGTTCCACGAAAGAACACATATCGTAATATGCTAAAATAAAAATAAAATAAATTACTAACTTTACAGGAATCATATTTTTAACTATTTTCTATTGGTTATTACTTTGATATGGCTTCCCACTTGGATCTTTACGTATGGGTTCGAAACAGATCCTATATGTACTGTTTACGGACTGGCAGTTCGCACTACAACAGTCATCGTTAGTAACACACGTTTTCAATTGTTCAACACATGGTTTTGCAGTAGTACTAGAAGTATTTGTAGTATTGTTAGTACTGGTAGTATTTGTAGTATTGGTAGTACTGGTAGTATTTGTAATATTGGTATTACTGGTAGTACTGGTAGTACTTGTAGTACTGGTAGTAATATTATTTTTTCCCATGCAATTTATCCCTAAAAAATTCATATAATTATAATATAATATATACATATACAATAATTTTATTGGGTACTCTAAAACCATTACCAACTAGAATTGTTTTTCTATCAACCATATTATACAATTACAATAAATAATACAATTACAAGTCCACAATTAATTTTGCAGATACTCGTATATTAGTGTAATAAGCGTTTTATATCGATAAAGAATTTTATTGAGTAAACTATAAATTTTTAACAGTAAAACCATTTCACACATTTAAAAACATAATTGCAAAACTAATCATTTGTAAAGGCAGTCATACACGTAACGTCATACTTGATAGTAGTGGTGGCATTAGGAATTGTTGTCAGGGCGGGCTAAAGAGAGGCCAACATTATATTAAGGTAGGCACAGTAACACGGTAGCTAAAATAACAGAAAGGGTGGCAGTGGCCTTAGCGCCCTTGATTTGAATTCGCCACTTTTGACCCTTCATATACAGTGTGTAAACACTAACTGAGAACACTCAATATTCTTGCGTGGAGCTCTGCAATTTGAATTCTGATTTTTCGTTGGTTTTATGAAATAAAAATGTGTATTTTTATGAGTTATTAATTTTTTAACTTAAATATACACGCGCATGCGATGTAAACATTTTTTTTTCTTATATGGTTAACCACCTATTTTAATCACTAATTATTTTTTGCATATTTTTTGAATGAATTTTGGTAGTTAAACCAACTTTTTAAGTCCAAAATTGACTAAGTTACAGCAATTTAACTTAAAAACTGCAAAATGCGCTCGATTTTCAATTTTTTTTACTATAACTCTGAAAATAATTATTCTAGGATTGTTAAGGCTTAATATTTACATTCCAATTTATTAAAGTGATATTTACGCGTTATTATAATTTTATCTACTGTATAATTTTCACTTAATTTGGGTATGTATTATAAATTAATGCAGAAAAAACATAAATAAGCAGACTTATTGTTTATTTTGTAACATTTTATGGATATATTGGCATTTATCAATAATTAATAAGAAATTTAATTTCTATTTAAATTACAAGTTTATTTAGTGATTAAATAATTTAAATTAATTCAAAAGAAGAAATTAATATGTTATATTATAATATAATTATTGTAATTGTTTTTACTATTACTACTATTACTAGGACAAAGGACTTATAGCATATGCATATTTTTTTAACACAGTCACAAAAATTGCAGAGTACGAAACAAATGCATTTCATGCTTTCACAAAGCTAGTTTTAAAATTTTATTTTGCATATAAAAGCATATTTTAAGTTTTTAGATTTTAGGGCATATTTCTTCCATATTGTACTTTTAGATGTATATTTTAAATAATTTATAATTTCATCAATATTTTTTCGTCAACATTTTTATTTATTTTTTTATTTGACCAAAATAGTGTTATTAAATTCTAATGTAATTTTTTTTTTTTTAAAAGCATATTCTCATGTAGTAATATTTAAAAATACAGCACCTCGCACCTGATTTTTCACTTCCTGCAGAACCTATAACCATAGGCGCAAATTGGGGGGCTAAGCCCCCAAAAATCTACAAATTTAAAATGTTATAATATTATAAATGTGCACAGTTTTATTTTTTTTTTCATATTTAAATAATATTATATATTATGAGATGACCATGTCAATTATAAAATAAAAATTATCACTGATATTGTAGAATTAAAAATATAATATTAGTTTGATCCTATATTATTAGGAATTATTATACGATTATTTTATTATTGCTATTACGTCATGACCGCGATTGTATATTATAAAATATGTATATTTAGTTACCTACTTTTATAATAAATAATTATATAAGATTCTCTTAACTAAACGCACGATGCCAATAATAGGCAATAAGCCCACATGATACTTGTCATGACGTGTTTATAGTTTATGCTAGGTTATCCTATACTAGATTAAAAGTTTATTTTAATTGTGTGAAATTCGGCAAACTAGGTTTTTCCTTGCGACCATTTATTACGCTTATCTGAATTCTGAATGCATTTATATTTTGGTTACATATCGATACCTAAGAGCACACATGTGCTATATCCAAATGTCCGACTTTTAATGTTATTTAATTGATTTTGATAGCATAAGTATCTAAAACCGCCTTTTTTAATTCAAATACTTCATAATTAATATTTTATTTTAGATAGTTATTATAAAAAAAAGGAATATTTGTTCTAGTTTTATAGTTATGCAAACAACTAAACTTCTTTAGTGATTTGCCAAAAATTAGGAAAATGGACATGGAACATGTGTGCTCTAAGGTATCGATATGATCGCTATCCGCTTGTCGTTTTCATTACAGTACATGTACAGTTAACAATCCGCGTTTATGTTAGTTAATTTTACATACTTATTTAAAAACTTAACAATGGAAAGTAAAAAGTCATTCAACATTTTCAATAACAAAAATAAATCCACAACTACTTCTCCAAATTCTAGAGTTTCTACAAAAATAGATGTTGATCAAAATATATTGGTTTCTATCACTACTGCTACAAACACCAATATTATCAACAGCGATGATTAATCTATTACCAATAATACCACAAGTGGATGTTTAGATCTTAGCGATTTAAATTCCGGACCCATGAGACCAATTTTAAAATTAAGTACTTTTTTGTGGCTCTTTCAATTCCTGTTAGTTCAGCCACGTGTGAGCATTCTTTCTCCATTATGAGAAAAATTAAAAATTGGCTGCCCACATCGATGGACCAGGAGCGATATTCCAGTTTGGCAATAATAAACATTGAAAGAGAAGTATCAAATCAGCTTTAAGCTCAGGATATATTAATTGAGTATGCTAAGACCAATAAAAGGTTACAATTAAAATTTGTTGTTTATTTTGATTGATATATAGGTATAATAAAATAAATTAATAAATGTATTACTATGTACATAAGCGGCACTTGGTAGAAATTCATGTGGGTGCAAACGTTTATGGTGATTCACAAACCGGTTGTAGGGGGGAGGTGTTTTTCCACGTCACCTAATATTTAACTACTACTATTAAAAAAGTAATAAAAAAAATCTTTATGTAAAACTTTATTATATATTTTAATTAGTATAATATATAATTGTAAATATTAGTTATAACTTATAAATATATAAGGAACCTATTTTTATTAACATAAATAATAATAAAAAACAATTACTGTTAGTAACATATATTATAATTAAAATTACATTATATTACTATTGTTAGCATTTGCAATTCAATAACTAAAATATAATATAATATTTTTGACTGTTGTCTGTGGGTGCAAAATGAAACTTTTGCCCCCCTAGAAAAATTGCAGTGGGTGCAACTGCACCCTCATGCTCCCCCCAGATGCTGCCACTGACTATGTAGTTAAAATTATGTTATTATAAGTCATCCCCCCCACTTGAAATTTATGGTAGGTCGACCGTAATAATGAAGATATAAAAAATGTAATCAGATTATGAAGTAATATAAGGTAAGATATGAATGGTGATTGGGGGGGCAAAGCCCCCACGGGTCTGCTTGCTCTTAATATATTCAGCCCCCCAAAGTCAAAAGTTGAAATTGCGTCTATGCCTATAAGTAAATGGTTAAGACACATAAGCTCATAAATTTAAATAATTCAATACTTATTGTAACATGTAAGTTATACTTAAACTTTAAAAAAAAACATATTCATTAAATTAATAGGTACTTACAGAAGAAAAAATCCATATTTTTTTTCCAAAATATTAATTTTAAAATGAATATTTTTAATGCATATTATTAATTTTAAAATGCATATTTTATGTATATTTTTTAGTGCTACAAGTCTTCTGCCCTAACTATTATTATTATTATTAATTGTATCCAGTGGCGGCGTGACGGCAGATTTTTGAGTCCCTGGACTCAAATCAGTGGGTGGGTAGGTGGGTGGGTATTAACCATTGGGTATCGAGTGGGTATTTGTAAATATGCATTTGAGAAAGGGGGAGCTTTTTTTACTAGCTACCCTTAAATTTCTTTTTTAGGTGGATGGTTGGGTGGGCAAAATCTCAACAGGATTCATGAAGTAAAATATTTCGCGCCGCCACTGATTGTATCTTCCACTTTTTGATATTCTATATATTTTAGATAATTCAAGATATTCTATCTTGTTTATCATAATGATTGCAATGTTATTATTGTAACAGGACCTTATCCGTTTAATACCAAATAAAAAAATAAATAAATATCGGTATTGACGTGTATTTTATTTGTAACGTGCTGATTTGTTTAAACTTATAGTTTTCAACATAGGTATCTAATATTTTTAAATCTAAAAGTTAATAGGAACATTAATAAATAGGTATTTAAATGAGGTTTATATACTTATAATACAATTTTTTTTTTAATACAGTGATAAATAATCTCAAGCTAGATTGCAGTAAAAAAAAAAGGTTAATTATTTTTTAAAAATGTTTCCAAAAAGAATTTAAAAGGTATTAGATAACCAACATCATAAAATCTTTATAAAAAGAGACTTCTAGAGTATTTTCGGAATTTTGAAGTTCAAAGTTATTGGTTCAACTATAAAAGTACTGATATAATGGAACTTATTATTATTCAGTAATGTCATTGATGTAAGAAATATTATATATACCGAAAAATATCTATGTTGAGGTAATATGAGTCAGTCCACAACTTAATTAAATGGAATATATTTAACATTTTTTAAGTTCTAGTAATTAAGTATATTTTATTCTTACCTGATATTGTAGATATTACATATAAAGCAATTAAAACGACTGAATATTTTTTTATTACTTCTTTTTTTTTATACATTTTGTTGGAAATACAATTGAAATAATATATTGAGAGTAAAAATTTGAAAAAATATTATTAAGTATCAAATATTTATGGTTAATGTCAATTAAAATAATGAATGTTGGAACGTTTTGATAGTTTGTCACATCACAACTGAAGTGAAATAAATAAATACATATCTCTAAATTTAAATTAATTTACTTTTAATAACTATCTACTATCAAAAACAGTCATTAAATCATTTATCAATTTCATCATAAATTCATTTAAGATAAATTATGAAAATTACCGACATACCTACACAATAAAACGCTATTTTTGGTGGTTCGTTTTTGTGCTTTTAACAATGAATTGATTGTTTTATATTTTTTTTTTTCACTGCATTAAGAAAATTGAAAAATTATACTTTATGATGTTTCATTATTTATATTGTAAGTTAAATAATTATTCGTAGTAAATATGTAATTACGGATAACTGTTATGTGATATCACGCTTTAAAATTATTGAAAGCCTTGGTCCTTCGTTCTTATGAATCGTTTATAAAATATTCTGCTGTAAGTGATTAAAATCATGGGCGTAACTTAAACATTTATTAAGGGGACAAATGTATAGTTACATATCAACTATTTTATATAGTTAACCGTACATTACTTACTTATAAATATATGTTAACATGACCTTTTGTTGTATATTAGTATCAGGTAATCAATATTATTAAGTAATGAAATAAATCAAACATAAATAAATCAATTTAGATACATTAAAAACAACAATTTTTAATATTTTATAACTTCAAAATAAAAATGTCACTTTTCTATCTATATATTATTATATAAAATGATTTATTATTCATTATCTAACATTATGTGAGATAAGTTAAAATTGAAAATTGAGATTTAAAAAAAAATGTATTGTAATAGCTATAACCAGCTGTTTTGTACTTATTTTAAAACAAGGTGTATTAAATATCAGAGGGGAAAATTCTCCTCCTAATATATTCTAGGGAGGCGATGGCCCCCTTTGCCCCCTGCAGTTTACGCCTATATTTAAAATTATAATGACGCTCAACATATAAATTCCAACAATGTTTTCAGTCAAAATTAAGTAGTACTGACAGTATTACCATCATATTATATACGGATTTATGATTAATAAATAACTCACAACTAAGTTTTTTTTTTTATTAAAGATTATGTTAAAATACGTACTACATGGAAATATACTTCAAATTAATTTCTGTTTAGAATAAAATAGGTAATTTGTTTTTTTCAATTCTGAGTGATTTGGTTTTGGGCTATTGATTATTGATTTCAGAAGGATGAAGTTTACTAGTTCAACAAAAACTTCAATTAAGTTACATATTTGTAAAATAATTTTTATTTTTTTGCTTATGAATCTGCAACATGACAGGTCATATGATGATGGATGTTCTGGTACGATAGTACAGTAATTAATGTAGTTTGAGTATGGGTGTTTTCTTTTTACACGTTGGCTGTTTCTACTTTCTGGATAGATGTTCCGTCTGGAGAGCGTTTAAACAGTCGCTTTATACCGCCCGGCCACTACGTTCCTCTTATTAGAGTTTTTTAATCAACAAGAACTTATTATAAGTTATAGTTACTATAAAACTATAGTTATATTCTTATAGTTATTTAACTTCTTTTAAGTTTGTTAGAATTCTGAAAAAATTTTCATAAACTGACAAAAAAAAACAAAGAAGTGTGAAAAAAAATTAATTTTCTTATAAAAAAAAGTATTATTATTGAGAAATCGATCCTTGATTTATGAGATTATTAAAATAATAGCCTTATACAATATAAGTTCTGTGCTGTAATGCATAGTTTATTTTTAAAGTCGTGTAGATACAATATTTATAATACATTAGTAATAATGTACAACTCTCATTAATTTTTTTTTATCAAAATCAAAATAATTATCGTTAAAATATTAATTACAGTTCTATTATTTATCGTTTAAATATATTAACTTTGTCAATTATAATAATTATTTCAATTACAATTGTAAAAAAAAAAAATGATGACACATAAACTGACAGTTGACAATTGATAATTGACAGTTTAAAGTAGTTGTACAAAATGCTAAAAATAATATAATTTTTTTTATGTTTCACTTAACTAATAGACAGTAAATATTTAAAATTTGAGTAATAATTTAATGTGAAAAAAAAACTTTTAATAACGTATCGATAAAGCTATTGATTTTCGAAAATAATAAATGAATTATTGTGTTATTGTATTTTAGAATAATTGTAGAAATCGTTAAAAATAAATCATAATTATACTTAACAGGAATTGTGCATAAAATATTACGTTACAATATCGTTTCAGCTAATAAATATTATATTTTCGGCTTTATACTTATAGGTGGTATATATTATGAGCAAAAGATTTTCCATTAATAATAAATAATAGTTAGCACAATGATTGAGTGAAAACGTTTTAAAACGATAAATTATTGTGTTTTGTTACATTTGAACTTAGATAACACAATAAATCCATATTATGAATAAATTACAGTTGTGACAGACAAGGTATTCATAGTGACTAGTTTAATCAAAATTTTAGTCTTAAATAAAACGAAATGACAAATCAAACATCCCAATGCAATTTTTTCCACGTCAATTTTAATAAAAAAATCTACCTTGTAGCCACATATCACAAATATACTAATTAAAACTTGTATAATTTTAAATTAATATCAAAAAATGGAATTTTTTTCTTATTCAATAATGCAATTACTTTTGCCTTTTTTACCTTATAGAAAACTAAACTACATTGTTGTGATAATAATCCATGTGTTTGAGTTATAAGTTATTCTGATGTATATAAGTTTAATGGCTTTAAAAATGATTTCAAATTTACTATACGTGCAACTGAGAGAAAGGAAAATGTTAGGTATTAAATAGTTAATTATTATTTTCGTTCCTACGAAAGAAATTTGAATTCAGTATGGATTATTTTTATGCAAAAATACCAAAGTGGATATAACTTATTTGGTACGCCAACAATATATACAGTGGCGAATTCTCCAGGTATGCTCAGCATGTGCCGCATCCTTAGAAATAAAAACGTTATTAATCAAAATACAAAAATTATTTTGTAATCAATAATATATTACGTATTTTAAAAAATCATAATGTATTACAATAATGTAATTTAATTCTATTATACTTTGTAACATTTAATGACAGAGCATGCGATAGATATGTGCGCAAGCTAGACTATGTTTGTTACCGCTGTAAAATACCAGTTATTCCGAGACCACTTTAACTAGCAGCCACGGTATTTACTACCCAGGGTATGCTCAATCTGTTATGCTTCGTCAATGTCGTAATTTATAAAATTTACGTGTACGAGTATATGACAATTTTTCTTCGATTTGTTTTAATGTGCTATTTTTTAATATTTTTTAATTAGTTAAATATTATTTAAATAAATGCTATTGTATATATATATTAAATTAAAATCTTATTAATAAATAAATACAAATTTGTGTATTATTTATTAATTATAAACATAGGCGTGCGCACGGGGTATGCAGGGTATGCCGCTGCATAGTCTGCGGCTTCATGTGAGGGGCCCAGTGGGCGTAGCCAAGGGGGGGGGACTAAGGGGGCTATAGCCCCCCCATGGGCCGTGTTTATATGTATAATGTATCTTGACTATTCAATAGAATCAATGGATGCTCGTTTTAATCAAAGGCTTATTGATGTTATGCCACTTGAAGGACTTATTCCGGCCAATTGAAATATGTATGACGATAAAAATATTATAAAAACTGCTAAAATATATGTCCAAGATCTCCATGATGATACCTCATCTACAATCAGAGCTAACCTGTTCATATGGAGGCAACAATGGAGTCAAAATACTATTCCAAAACCGAATTCTGCTCTTGATTCACTCTCTCATTACACCAATCTTCGACCTTACATTAAAATACTTTTACAATTATTCGCCACGTTACCAGTTACCTCTTTCACTCCGGAAAGAACGTTTTCAGCTTAATTGCTTAAAAATTTTTTTAAGAAGCACCATGTCGGAAAACAGACTGAATGGGTTAGCTATTGTTTTATTACATATGACTCCTGGATGTATTTATTATTATTGAGAATAAACTAAAACTATTTAAATTGCACTTTTACAGTAAAACTTTTATTATTTATAACAACGTAGTGTACTTTTAAAATCATGTTATTACTAATAGTATTCTAACCTCTTAAAACGGTTGACCCGTCACAGCTTTTTGATAACATGAGTGTTATCACAGCTATGGCTAATATAAATAAAAAAGAGCAATTCGATGAAAGTGAAATAATAACTGAATTTACCAGAAATTCGCCTAAGAAGATGCAGCTGTTAGAGTGGAGCAAGTGACTGAACACTGAAACTAAAATTATTATTATTATTATTATTATTATTATTATAAATTATATATTAATAAATATTTTTAAAACTATACTAAAATGCTTGAATTACGTTTAGAAACTTGGTGGTAGATGGTGAGGGGGGGGGGGGGGGGGGGGGGGGGGGGG